AAAAAAAAAAAAAAAAAAAAAAAAAAGAAATGTCCAATTAGTTAGAAACACGGTATCTGATTTCGTATCCAAATTAAGTTTCGTAACAAGATCGTTAATAAACAACAATAATTAACAGAAGAGAAAAAGAAAAAAAATTGTTCTTATCGGGCTTTGCAAATTCATTCACCAAGTGCCATCTTTTCCTCGTTCGATGCAAATGGCAAGCGATAAGTGTTGGCAACACCAGTTCCAGAGAAGTTGAGGCACTATGTCAAACTTAGTTGACACGTTAAACAAGCGTCCAAGTGACGATCGTGGAATACGTTATTTCTCGATCCAATCTGCCTTGTTCCTTTTTCACTTCTCTCAAACTGTACCAAATTGTACGCATAATATTCCTTTTTCAAAAAAGTTTCATTCGATATATCTATTAATCGAATGCTTGATGAATGAAAAATTTCGATACACGAATTAAATTATTTAACGAATAATCAAACGATTCGATACGGAACTTTGGAATTAATTGGGAGGGGGAAAAAAAAAAGAGTTTTCTCTACGGTATTTTTATTAATGTGGAAAAAAAAACACGGCAAATAAAAAAGTCGATACGTTTGTTCATCAACGCGATTTTTGCATATTTGCCTCGTAAACTCGAAATTCTTGAGCAAACGAGAAATCTTTTTTCCCAATCTTTTGCTTTCCTTCATCTCTCCGTCGATGAAGAACACACGTTTCCAATCGAATCGTCGTCAAGAGCTTTACGCTCCTACTTTTCACATCGAGTTTTCTTCGATTCGACGACCCGTTTTCACCACTAGCTAGCTTCATTTTATTCTTCGCGCGTGAACTACGCTAAACACGATTTATGCGGCAACAATTCGTACGAATTTTCTCGACCGTGCGGAAACGCAATAAAACGTTCGAGTTATTAAACCAAAATTCGCGTTGAATTATTCGTTGAAACTCGCGGTATCTCGGACGTGAGACGTGCGATTTATTCATCGTTGAATTTAGAGAAGGTTGATCAGAATGCATAATAATCAAGGAAATCTTTGCGTGATTCCTTGTTACAGACGTTAGTTGAATTGTTGTGTCGTGGAAAAAGATATATCTCGAGATGGAAAACAAGATTGATCCAAGATAGTATCGACGGTGTTACAACAATATCGTGATCACGCGAGAAGCTCGAGAATCGGAGGCATTTTACGTTTAAAATTAGAAAACCACTTGTAGGTCCGCGGCGATGTATCCGCGTGCATTCTGTTCGAACGAGAAATGTTTGCGTATCAATTATTCGCCACTTCACTTACGTTTGTATAGTATATTGCACTCTATTTTTAAACCTGCGTGGTGTAAAATCAGCTTTTTCGAACAAATGCAAAGAGATTTCCCGCTTTCCTCGCGAAAGTTAAATGATTTTATTTCATTTTCATAATTTCACATTTTTCGTAAATGTCGAAAAATATTCAATGTAAAAATTCATCGATCTTCTCAAGATTTCCCATTTAAATTTCACAATACGTGTTTAACAATACGTGTAATTACCTATTCTTTACAAATTTGCAAATTACAAACGCCCTGTTAGATATAATCCTATTACAATTTGCGAATTGTGTTTAGTTATCCTTGCAAAGTGACATCGAACAGAATAACTCGATGGATCCTGTTTATCGATAACTCAATTGAGCAACAGACTTCGTAAATGATTTTACCTTTCACTCTGCCTTCCTCCTGCTTTTCCTCCACGACGAGCCGCTGAAAGTTTCGTCTTTTTGAAACGATCTTTAATTCCTCGTGTCTCAACCGATCTTCATACTTTGCCTGGCAAAGTGTACGATGCACACTCGCGCGCCATTCACTCGAGGCTTCCTTTCGAGTCCTCCCCTCGATCTCGACGGGGCAAGATACATTTAAATTTAAATCAATCGGATATAAATAACGAACAATAGAATTTTTCCGCGAGAAAATTTTCCAATCGCTAGGATAAAGCGCGAAAAACTACTGTCGCCGACATATTAGAAACACACGAAGGACGCGCGTTTCCTTTTTCAACGAGCGACCATTCGCCATAGAAATCTCGTCACGAGAGAAGAATAGATTCACAGTTGAAATACAGTTTTAGTTATCGCTACCACTAGATATCAATTCGGCGAAATCGACAGCGCGCCGTAAACTGAAGCGAAACTTGGATTTGCGGACGTTCCGCGTTCCCTCCACGCAGTCGCAAAACACGATGCATCGTTTTGTCTACCCTTTCTTCTTCACTTTCCACGCCCGAGACGTTTATCCGAGGATGCGCCCTTCCGAACCACCCCTTCTCTTCTTTTTCGAAAAATCGAAAAACAATACAGCGATATTCGAAAATCAGTTTTACATCAGTTTTTTTTTCCCATCATTCTTCTTTCACGGGGTAAAATTTATTATTTCGCGATAATCAAATTCCATCGATTTTTTTTTTTTTTCATTAAATAAACGGATTCGAGGGGATAAACCGATTACGATGAATTTGATTTTGTAATAAATGGCGATTCAATCAGAGATAATTAGAAATTCCAATAAGAGTAATTATAGCATTACGTCGCATCGAAGTTAAATTATGATCAAGATATCCTAGCTTACGTCCATCGGGTTTAAATTATCGGTCGATGATGATCGATACGCGATATTTACGCGTCTATCCAAATAATGTATCGTACACAAACGACACGTGGTGTTGAGTAAATATCCTTCTCGATCTCGCGTTCGAAACAAACGACGAAGATCTTGAATAGGAATGCGTCTATTGTACTTCGTCACCACGGCTCATATTCAAATCAATACACAGAGATTCGCCGCAACAATTTTCTCTCGAACAATCGGTCATTTATTTTGCATTCCTCGCGTGCAACGTGTTCTTCTTTCAACATTGTCAACCGACAGCCGCACAGGCGGATTAGTAGCGCGAAGGAATTTCTAGAAACGTCCCGGCGGAATGGTTGCGCAGGATCGCGAGCGTGATTCGTTGTTACGTTTGCCGAACCACTTGGAATTCAATTAGAATTCCCTCGGTAAGTGATACATCGAACGAACACAACGTTCCAACGCATACACAAAAAAGAAAAAAAAAAAGAAAAAAGGAAAAAAAGTTTCATGCCTCGAAACGATGCATACGTTTTCACCAGAAGAAACAAGATCGTGCTAATTTTTTTCCACGCGCGATCACTCGAGTTCAGTCGCAATCGGGATGCATCCGTGGCCGATTCGTCGATAAATCACCGTGGCGAAATCGTGTTCCATACGGCTTCTATTTTTCCACCCTACTAGGGAAATTTTCCGGCCTAATAATCGAGGAATTAACGGGCCCGGCTGTAAATTGGTGTAAAAATTCCGCCGCTTCGTTCGAACGTAATTTCGCCCCATTTCGGGTTTCCAGAGTGTGTCGATCAATTTTCCACCGTGAATATCATCCTGCAAGTGTCGAATTATCCTCGAAAATCGGCAAAAATGGATCTTGCCGATTTACTAACGGCGCTCGAGATTCGTTCGATCGATCGATCGGGATAAAAAAGGAGGAGTTTTAATTGTAGGGGAGAGGACAGGTGGAGGAGGGAGGTCGGTCCTTGGTCGATAAGGTTTGGAGGTAAGCCGCTGTTGACGATTAATCAATTAATATTCGATTTGTGCCGCATCATTCTCTCTCTTTACTCCTTTCCTCGAAATCGTTTTGTATAATCGTTTTATCCGGAATCCGATCAATGATTTTTCATTTCTGTCGTTTACAAATATTTTTAGTATATAATTTTTCTATTTAAATTGGAACAAACGCGAATTGTTTAATTTGATATTTAGATTTGTATGTAGATATTATTATATTTTTTCCTCTTTTTAAATTCGTTTCGTTTTTCATATACATTCCGTATATTTTTTTCGAACATCAAACAGATATCATCTGCTTTGAACGGATTAAAAATTATCGCAGATACACGATTTTTTTTTACAATCTCGTATAACCAAGTGGACAGTGATAAAAATATTCATAGATGTTTGTTTATCCTTGATTCATCCTATTTATCCCGGGATCACATGCGTTTCTTTTCTTCCTTCTTGATTTATCTTCCTTTCCAATTATACCGTCTACGCTAAACGGAATCATTTTTTCGCAATTTTCAAATTCAATTCACGCACAATGAGAAAATTCCATTTTCTCTCGATCAATCGAAATTTGATCTTCGTAGTTCTGTCGTGATCGACGTTTTTCCATTCGAACGAATAAAATCAATCCCTCGTAATCACTGTCATCTTCACAGTCCGACGTTCTTCAACTGTAAAACGACAATAAGAGACACCTGTCCAGATTTATCGTTCATTTGCCGATCATTACGCATTACATCTTTACTTAAAAAACAAACAGCATTTGATTCGTTCAGAGGATTCGTTCAGAGGAAATTGTGTTAAGGGAATACACATGGTTCGTCTTTTTTATCCAAACTAAAGAAAATAATAATGGACGATGAGAACAAAAACAGCAATCGAAATCTTAATGGATATCGCTTCAACTGAAAACTATTCAACGTTATAGACATGTTTCGATTTCTCTCTGATAAAATAAAAAAAGATAAATGAACGAGGAATGAAAGGAGGGAAGACACGCATCGTAGGAGTTGCATATAGTAAGTTTTCAGTGCAGTCATTCGAAGTTTGTCCTGATTAATTTACACAACGCGACTTCGAGTTAACCGAACTTCTTCGTCGCCGTTTCGAATCCATAACTTTCGTCGCGGTGAATGCAGCTTGGTTGGTTTTATCGCTTTTAACACGACATTAACTTCCACGCTATCCGTTGAAAATTATTGAGGAGGAATTGAAGTATCTCGATAAGGCTAAAATTATTACCTACTTCATTTGTGAAATTAAAGTACCTTCTTATCTTTCTTTTCTTTTATTTTATTTTTTTTATTGATTCTGTGAAGAGATCGATCGACGTTCGATGCGTAATATACACGTATACTTACTACTTATACAAAGATTGCACGAACAAAAGAGGAACTAAAAATAGAAATTAATTGAACGAAGAGTGAAAACTGAGCGATGCTAGTTTAGGTATAATTATTAAAATGAAAGAAATCGAACGTGAAACGTTTCCAATTATATCAAGTTTCAATATCTGTATAGCATCCTAGACAAAGGAAATATTATTTCGGAGAACGTTATCGATTTAAATTCCGTATTAATGGACCTTTTATTTCCGATATCGCGCGATAACCACGTTTTATAACTACGTTAACTTTACGTTCATCGTACTAATTAATAAGAAATGTGTTTGTTTCGCGCGTATAATCGTCGAAAACGATGAAAAAGGAAAGAAAAAAGATATGCAACGAAGTTTCTGCGAAGTTCGCGTGAAATTTCGAAATTAAAACGATACAATATCAGCACGACACGACAATCGATATCAACAATTACTGCGGCACAATTGATGCAATTAAGAATATTTAAGTCAGCGTGTCAGTGGAGTATCGAGCGATTCCGCCATCTTGTATCAATATCGATATCGAGTGAATCGGAAACTCTTTGTCCCGATCGAAATTGAATGAAATTCGCATTCGATTCGATTTTCGGATTTTTCTTTATTTGCATCGTAATCGCTATATTTCTCTATATAATAAACAGTTACGATATTTTAATATTATTGCATTTATCGCAGTTAATTCGAACGAATTATATATGATGTTCTCAGAGAATCGTTAATTGTATTTAATAGCCTCTTTGCCGGGTATAAATATGATGTTACGATAATAATTCGACGGAATTATGCATATATTAACACGAAAATATTTGATCTCATAAAATAATTCGGTGTGGAAACGTTAAGCTGGAAACGTTGTTCTATCGAATTTCAGCAGAAAATAAGAAACCTTCGCAAACCAGTTATTCCAGAAGATCATTTCTGAATACTTTCTTTTCCAATTTAGAAACGATCTGTTTGTCTAGATTAACAGCAGGTATTAAGCTTAAGGTAAATACGACTTTTATTGCGGTTTGTGGAAATAAAGGGATCCGTGGATAAAGTTCCAAGAAATATCGTTAGAATAACCTGTTATTTCTTTTGCAGTTAGGTTTTCCAATAATCCTAACATTTGTTTCTTTTTTCATTTCAATTTTATTTCGAAATTCTAACGCGATTCCGTCTTCTAGATTATTCCGAATTCAATTTTCCAAAAATTCGCGCACAAAAACGATCTAATTAAAGTTGTCCTTTAAAAATTTCGTAATTTTAACATTTCTTGCAACAATTTTATTCGTTCGTTTTTTTCTTTCTTTAAATACCACGTGATTGACCAACTTTTGCGTTGCAACTTCGCCTTAAAAACGAATCAAACTTTTTAGCCAAGCGTTCGACGATAAGGTAAACCCGGTTTCCATTACTGATCGCTGCTGCCATCTGACGGCCGTTTGAGTTCCGTTGTTCTCGATGCGGGAAATTTTGATCGATGGGACGACTCTTATCGCAATTTGATAAAAGCAATCGCATCTTTTTCCACCGAAAGAACAAAATATCAGCGACGAAACACAGGGGACGGGGGAAATGCCCTATCTATCTTTCAAGAAAATTAAGCTCCGAACGCCCTCTTATACGCGGCCTCAATCCACGACGAAATAACGGAATATAAATGCGAATCTCTCTTTTGCTACCGACATCTACGAAACATTTTAACAGTTCCACAATTTCGTCGGTAGTTTGTAATTTGTTATACCAGTTGCTAATTAGTAGCGCAAATTTGCACACCATGCAATTTGTCCGCCTCACCTATATTCATTTTCTCGCACGTTGATATAATAATTCAAAATTATTTCTCTCGAGAGTTTACTTGGAAAACTGTCGTCGTATCGCGGCGTAGAACAGATTAAACCGGCGGATCTATAATCGGTTTATATTTGCTTTACGATAAAACAATTTGCCACGGTAAGTATAATCGGTCTAGCCAAACGAACCAGGCGTCGTCGGAATTTCGTTACCGCACGTTCTTCAGTTCTGTGCCTCGAACAGGAAAATTGGAAAAAATGTTGCCGAAAGTGTATCTGCTTCATCGTGGATCGCACGAGAAACGAACTCCTCCACGCGCTTCGAAACCAATTTATATCAGTCTTCGATTCTTCGGGATGAAATGATTTCAACAAATTGTATAGGGAGCTCTAGCAAAAAAGCTCGAGATCAGTTGGGGATAGGAGGCGGACCCGTTTCCGTTTAAAACGAGCGTATCCCACTCGACGAGAATTATAAAATCACCGCCAACTGTTTGCGCCAAATATTTGACCGAGATCGAAATGGCGAGATAGGAAGCGAACGATTCCTTGTGAAGCCTCGTTGTGCACACTTCTCGGGATTCATATTTCAGAAGACGGCCAACTTTCATGTAATTCAAACACGAGAGTTGAATCGTGATTTCAAGAAAGATGCGCCATTACGTAATCCGTGATATCGGTATGATCGCAGGACGCATGCATTCAATATTTTATATTCCATCTACAAGTTTCTCTCTATTTCTTTCTTTCTCTCTCTCTCCTTTCGAATATTTCATTTCATCCGCCTTCCATCGGTATTATCCAAATTCGTGTCTCGTAATTGGGGCAGTTTTTTTTCACCTACGAATGTAATATTTATCGTCAGTTTTTTTAATTCGTTAAATTAAAGTCGTTTTTACGTTTCTGTTAGATTCAAGCATCGCAATAAATTTGAATCGTAATTTAATCTCTCCAGCCAGTAATTTTTTCCCGAGAAAAAAAGATTTCGGGGAATTCGTTTTCTCATTTATTCGCGAACCCATTTCAGTTACAGTTATTCTTTATGTTTCTTTATTCCCCCTCCCCCTCTTAAATCGCATCATTCCACGCAATTGTTCAACAATTTCCTCCGTTTGAATATTATTTTCCGATTGGAGTAGGGCGGTTCAAGTAACCGATAAAATGAAACGCGTTTCAACCTATTAAGAAATTTTAATTAAGGCGAGCCACGACGAGCGTCGTGAATAAATTCGCACGGCAATGAGGGCTCGTTCGATCGCGTCAA